CGTTTTAAATAAATAAGAAAAATCCTTTCAATCCATTCTCAAGGCTGGCTTGGTTGAAAATCTGAGCCTACCCTAGACTCAGACCGCTCCGCCGCCTATGGAGTCAAGTATCAAAATTATAAGACTACAACAAAAGAATGCTGATTATTATGAAGATTTTCTTGATTATTTTCATAATACACGAATAATAAATTTTTTTTTTTGGTTTTATATACATTGTTATGTTTTTTTAATCGTTTGAATTGTTATGAAGTTCAAAATATTCATTAAAGTGTTTCCCATTAGTATTACATGTAAAAATAATTTATCTGACTTCATGAAATATAAAACATAATAATGAAATAAAATTTTACAAATTTTTAATACAATTAATATATTTCAACAATATGTTCTCGACACATAGGACATGTATGTGCCATTAATTCATTTGATTGTAACCATCCATATATGCAACTACGATGAAAAGTATGTGAACAAGGTAAATGAATTCTTTCATTATCATTTTCAATATCCATCAAACAAATTGGACATGCTATTTCTTCTGAGTCTTTACAAATTCGATAATTTTTTGGAAGTGGCATAGTTTCCATAATTTTATATTCACACTTTAAATTATTTAACACATATGTATCATTAACTGTATTTAAAGGAAAAGTACATGTACTATAATGATTAACATACCACCATCGACAATTATGTAAAGCATATTTAATTGGACTAATTTTATTTTTACATATTGGACATTGATTATGTCGCTCAAGAATAATACGTGCAAAATCAAATTCACCAAAACCCAAATTAATAATCACCATTTGATCATAAGCTGGACAATGAGAATTTTTGCAAAGACCTTCAATATTTAAGCCATTACTTTTCAAACGCCATGGACAACATGATTGATGATTATTATATTTAAGTGATTGTCGACGATACTCATTCATTTTTGAGTATTTCAATAGTTATTGATCGTTGAATTTATTGCAATTTTCTAAATAATAGAAAGTGGGAATAATATAATGAATGATGATAGATCTTACTTCAAGGACAGTTACTTGTTACAAAAGTAGTACGTTTATTTATGAATGCCCGAGATACAACAACAAACAATTTTTATGCTTTTTTGTATTTACTATATGTTTTTTTTAAGAACTACAAAAATAAATTGCAGGTAAGACTTTATATTCTGCAGGTTTCCTTAAGTGATTCAACATTGCGTAAGTGATATAATGAGTCATAACAGCATCATTTTGCAGTCGGAAAGATTTTCTATTGCGTGAGTCAGTGCGACAATTTCTACAAGATGTTTAAAAAAGGAAGTAAGGTAATAACTTGATATCTACATGTAAGAAAACATTACTTAATAGTTAATGTTTTTTAAATGAATTCTATTACAACTTTTACATTATATCTACTCTTTTAACTATTTATAAATAAATTACCTTTGTTTAACAATGTGCTTACATGCTATTCGTCAGAATTTTTGAAGCAATGAAAAAAAAATGTCATGAAATATAAAAAAAGCAAGAAACTAATACGGTTTATCTTGAATTAAATTGTATTAGAACAGGTTGCAGCATCCTAGCAAACTACCACAAGATGTTTTTCGTTTGAATAAGGGTCTATTCTGCTGAGATCCTAATAAACAATGCAAGCCGTGCATTAGTATAGAGAAAAAAAGCAAAGTTTTTACTATATTGCAAATAATCTTTTCTTAAACTATAACTACAATCATAAGATATTTAAGTTCGCAATTAATGGTCAAACTTTAAATAACGAGTAATGTCTCAACTAAGAGTACGAAGTTTCTTAGCAAGAAATCAAAAAGCTAGTATCGTCTCTTTTAGATTTCTGGTATACAGATGAGATCTTGAACATTGTTTTGCAACAATAAAACACACGTGCACACGCATTTGATATTTATTTATCAACCAAGCAAAGAAAAGAGTTTAAAATCTTTTGTTTTTTCTCTTTTTTTATTCGACGCAATATGTTTTTTAATGCGTAAAACTGTTATCTACCTTAGTAGTTATTTAAGGGCAAACATCTGTTGGTACTTTTTTTCGAAAATCGAGGACTTGTTGATGTGCATATTTTAACATATTCTCTCAAAAGAGAAACTAACCAAAACTAAGAAACACACAAAATAGTAGAAAAGCCACGTATTTCAACGTTGATATACTAAATACAATTTTTTATCGATATGACAAGCGTTTCAGACTCAATACATGTTATCAGTGTTTATCGATCTACTGGCTAACAATGTAATCTAGACAATATTTTTTCTTTGTTGTGATAATGAATGATTTTAATGCTACAATAAAGAGATGGAACAGTCTATTAATAGCTGGAAAAGATGCATCGAAAAGAACATTACATTTCGACACAAGTTATCATTGGTTCAATATACTCATATATAGAAATATTTCTTTCGAGACAAACAATATTCTTTTCATAATAATTAAGGGGCGTATAGTGCGAATACTATCACAAATAGAATAAATCGTCTCATTGAAAGCAGAAAGATGAGTATATATCTATACTACGCTTAGTATTATTATTGAAAAATAAAAATAATAAGGAAGGTGTAGAATAAATAAATATCACTTAAGACAAAAAGAACTTGCCAACGACGGTCTATCAAAGATCAAAGTGCGGAACTCACAAATTCTGATTATTATCAATTTAAAATATATTATCAGGAGATTAAAATAATTTATTTTAACGAAATGTCAAATGAATGAATAAATCAAAATTATAACAATTTTTATAGTTGATATGTGTACTCTGAAATAATATCATTTCAAAAACGTTTGCATTCAGCAATGCCATAGGAAGCGACAAATGTCATTGTATTCTTTGTTTCATCAATTCAATCGTCATGTTAGCCTGCTTTACATATTGATTTAATCATTCAGTGAGCTTTTGGACACATTATCCTTTATCTCGACGAATTGGATTACATGAATTTTCGATCCGGACTTTTGGGCCGAGACGAAATTTCCTTAGAACTTTTGGCTCGTCCTTAAACTGACCTCATTGACCTCTAAAAAAAAATTGTTTTTGGTTAGTTGGTAGATATTGTACTGCTGAACAGAACGATATAATGCTCAGCAAGATGACATAGTGCTGAGCAGAACGCTATAACTATAGTATCATCTAAAGTCATCCTGTAGAGCACTACACCATATCTTTGAGCACTATGACATTCTGCTCAGCACTACAATATCTACCAACTAGTTAAAAAAAATTTTTTCAAGGGTCAATAAGATCAATTTAAGGACGAGCCAAAAGTCTTAAGGAAATTTTGGCCCGAGTCCAAAAATCACCGGAATTTCGGACCGATCCGAAAGTCCAGGCCGAAATTCTAATCTCCCGATGAATTTTGACATATACTGTAGGGGTTTGTCTAAACTTGGAATTAAATTTGTTCATATTATTCTGACTCTACTAGAAGAATAATATCATCGTCCTATTTGTTAACATCTACAGTAAGATCCTTTCCGTTCACTAAATACCAAAGCCTGCAATATTTAGACAAATAAGAATCTAAATGTTTCAGAAGATTCTAGAAAGTTCCAGAATGACCTAAGCTCTGTTATTACTAACGCGGCTTTTTCCGTTTCTAGGAAAATGTACCGTTGCTAGAGAAACGTTTCCAATGATTTTTGGCTTTTCTCTTCCCGCCGTCGATTGCTACGATCCCGGAAGAGAGTTGCAAAAACCTCGATTTAAACTTACACTTACTATATTTTCTTCGAGAACATATGTGAGTTTTACAAAATGTTATCCGAAGAACCAGTACTATTTTGACAAAAGACTCGATATTTGCTATTGAACAATACAAAACTACTATTCATTGGTAAAGTTTCTTATCGATTCTCTATGTTATATACTTTAAAGAAGGTAAAGCGTTCTAGACATATTTTCACTTATTTACAAACTATGTACACTCCTCTTTTACAAGTGTTAATCACAGATGAATCATATCAATATTATGATTAACAGTTCAAAATACTTTCGGTTGATTACTCTAATGCACATGATGTCAATATCAATACTGATCCAGACAATGAAACTATAGTAACAACCGAAAAATATTGATCTAGTATCATACTTCACGATAAGAAGACTTTTGAGTGTATATGACTTGCTGAACATTGTGCACGTAAATATGATTGTTATTAATTATTCAAAAATCAAAAGAATGAACGATTGTTTCTTTTTCTTTCAAAATATAAGATCAATCGAAATCACTCGAGAGACTTTATATCTTAAAAATAAGACCTTCAAGCGATTGTCTTTCAACATCTAACGTGTCATGTTTATGTTTACAAATACTACGTAATAGAAGCTATATCGAAAAAATTTCATCTTTAGTTGCATAGTATTCTTAGTTATATGGTTTCATAAGATTAATAATTGAAAAATAAAATTCGATTTTCTCTGTTTTGATTGTCTCATACAATTATGTACTGATGAAATAAGAAAAGGTCGCACGATGCCCTTCATTTCTCTTACAGTTTCTGTATCTATATTGTTTGTCCATTTAGCTTCTGTCTGTTCATCCATTCATTATCATTATTGTTCATTTGCATTTAAGTATGAATTTGTTTATCTTAAAATAGTCGAATGATTATCTTTTCTGTTGTTTTCTTAACAGTTTATACATGGATATGACGCCAGTCTCAACTTAAACAAAAAGCACTTGAAAAAATAATAACAAATTTCTTTTTTTTTCCTATTCTTGTTGATATTTCCATCATTCTCTATAATCATATGATGATTGAATAGTAACACTTAACGAAAGAGTATTATATTAATGTATGCTCAAGTTATTAGACTAACACTAGGCATTTGAAAAGATGAAAGCAACTCGTATTTCAACACGTCATCTTAATATGATGTAGAAATGGATTAGTTGTTGCCCATGATGATAATAATAATAATAATGATTAAAGAAGAAAAAAAAACGGTAGCTGACAAATAGCATATGATGTAATTTTAAAAATGTGAGAATTCTTAAAGAAGAAAACTAAACAAAACGTGTCAAATGGAATATCAATGTATAGAGTCACAACGATCATAATTCACAGATACTTGTGATTTTGTATCTGTAATATGAATAAATATAACATATGTTTTAATTTCCGATTATTTAATGATCATAGTTAATTATCTATTTGAAAACCAAGACAAAAAAAAAGTATTTGTATTCATAAATATTGCTTAGACATGCATCTCTTTATTTTATTAAATAGAGTTTTATGTATAGATGAATAAACGACAACTTTTTTTCGTCATTCATTATGATTTGACAATAATTTTTCTTTTTTCGATGCTGATAAATATACATTAACCGTTTCCATGTGTGTGTGAAAGACAACAAGATTAAAAATTTGATCTTCAACATATGTTCATTTCTATTCAAAGTAGTTCATCATCATATTTATTAGATGATCGAAATCATGCAAAATTATTTCTACTTATAGTTCCATTTAGTTTGTTGATTGGCACTTCTCATGATTATAGTTAAATCTCTTCTTGACTAATTTATGAATAATGTACTCGTCTGTCACTTTCCTTCGTTTCTCTCTCTCTCTCTCTCTCCTGATTGATTATTGCTACTGTATAACAATTTTTCTTTCAATTTCTGCTGTATTTTTTTCTTTTGCTGTTCATAACTACTACGGTCTCGTCATCGTGTGTCCACTTGTTCTTCTTCTCCTCTTACAATGTAATACACACACACACACACACATATACATAAACTCGGTCGATGACTATTATCATCAACACACTATAGGTTTACTGAATAAACCGATTTCACACTAACAGAGTTGATCTGACAAGCGGACAATTACAAAAAAAACACAAACTAATAGTTGATGTTAGAGAGTAAGTTGATTTTCTTATGCATCGATATTGAACAACTGATAATAAAAGCTTTATTCTTAATCAACATTTTCTTTTTTACAGACATATGCAATAGATAATTTTTTTCTCATATATAGTTTTGATAATTTTAATAGGATTTGTTGGTAAATAACAAAAACAAGAAAACACGTATGTATTTGTATTCTTTTTGCTTTTAAGTGTTAAATTAATGTAACTTAGTACATCAGAATTTTCCTTTTCTATTTATTCTAAATCAATAGACATCCAAATAAATATACAAATATTCGTTCATTTGTCGTCTTTTTTTCCCATGTATTCATATATAACTGAACCATGAATACTGTACGAACGAATAATGATGATGAATGAATCTATTGATTCAAGATTATATGCTTGATGAATGCACACGTTTGCTGTCCGATTTAACTTATTTTGATTTGAACAAGATAAAAAAAAAGAAAAGTATATTGCGATTCATTAACAGAACGCATTTCAAGTGAACCAAAGAGAAAAGAAACTCTGATTATGGAACATCCTTTAATCTGATGACTGTATACCAAAGACAATTATCTTTGCCAATATAAAATGTCAAGATATATTCTAAGCAGACATAAGATTATAATCATTCTACTCGTTGCATATTCTTACTATCATCGAAGATAACTGATAAGAGATTATGTGAGTATATATCCAAAGGACAGTGTATATTTGTATTGATCATCTTCTTTTTATCATGATTTTTCTATGCTGATTAAAAAAATGTTATTATTCTATTGAACTTTTTTCATATTAGAGAATCGAATTATATTCGAATACAATCGCTTGTCTTTATAAATTGTTTTCATTTCATTTTAGATTTCGTATTTATTTGCAAAACAAATGAATTCAATATTATTTATATTATTATTTATCTTATTCGAAAGTATTATTGCTCGAGGTACGTAGAATAAGATACACATGGTTTTTTTTGTATGGATTCATTATTTGACATTTTTAATGATAAGAGTTTGATTTGCAATTTGAGTCATTATGTCAATAGAACTAATGATATCGTTCGATTTTCGTATTGTATATGCCATACTATATGTGACTTCTTTAAGATGATACTCGAACAATACTCTGTAAAAAATTATATGCGTTGTTTTCGACTTCTCGTTTTGAATAATGACAAAAATCTTGAACTATTTATAAATATGATCAACTAATAGAGCTTTTACAATTTAGGTCATGTTATTATATATTTTATGAAAAAAAAGAGATATCATAGTAGTTAAACCAAAAGTTGTGATCACATTAAATACAAATAGAGAGATATTGTTCATTTCATCTTATTAAATATTCAAAATAGTCGCCATAATTATTCAAGCAAAGCTCCATCCTTTCTGATCATTTGTCAAACTTCTTTTTTAAATGCATGAGTCAATGATTTTTCTTTTGTTTAATCAATTAAATTACGCTTGCTATACTCATGCAACCAAAAATCACATGATAAAAGGTCTGTTGAAAATGATGGAAGGAACATCATATCGCTATTTTCTTGTGTCAAATAATTAGTAACATCTCGATGAGTATGAGATCGAGCAATGTCATGAAGTAATTTTATACCTTTTGCATCTGATGACTTTCTTATTGCAATTTTCAATATAATAGTTGTGATCTATAGTCTCGATTTTATTTAAACTATATATAAGAACAAGATCATTTGATTTAAAGAATATAGAAAAGAAGGCATTTTTGGTTCAAATTTACTTTGGTGAACAATAGTTGTTGGTGATTCACCTTCACTCATCAAATTTGCATTTGTTCACTTGCGCTCAATCTGTCTATGATAAGTCCATGAGGAAATTTCGGCAAAGTCTAACTCTTTCTTGCTTTTATTCATCATTAAATTGACAAAGCATCCAACATGACGTAACTTTTCTCATCTTTAAACAATCGTAGATAATTTGTACTGTTGTACCATGGAGAGAGAGAGAGAGAAGTGTCACCTATAATATCATCAGAAGTTGAATATAGATCATTGCTGATAACCATAATTCTTTAAAAGGGTTATTTTTCTGAACAAGTTCTTTTAGCATAAACATATGGGCGTGACCAGCCGACCTGAAGCCCCAATTTTTATTTGCTTATGTAGTTTCGGCCAGATATCAGAAAAAAGTGATTTTTTTACTGGTTGTAGTACGTATATAATACTAATGATCTGTTATTGTTTAAGTTCTATATCTTAGTATGAACAAGAGTTACTAATATTTTCTTATCATCATTTCGTTAAAGCTAGCTTGATAAAAGATATATTGGTAAACAATACGTAGTCATTCCAACAAAGAAACCTTACGGGAAGGGTGAATTAACAGCTGAAGACAAAAACTTCAATCGTAATGTTAATAGTGCAAGAGTGGCTATTGAAAATATTAATCAACAACTTAAAACTTACGCTATTTTTGCCAGTATTTACAGAGTAGATATTGATAACTTTCATAAGATAACGAAAATCATGCAAGTTGTTTCTGTTCTATGTAATATGAACTTGAATAAATATCCCATTAGTAAATAAATAATAACATAATAAGTTTTATTTTCTGATTAACTACTTGATAATAAAACTCTGTCGCTGATATATCATGTTGATTTACATTTTTTAGTAAGGTCCGGCGTATGTTCACATTTTAGATACAAACCATCTTTAACGAAATGATGATAAGAAAATATTGGCAACTCTTGTTCATACTAAGATATAGAGCTTAAACAATAACAGGTCATTAGCATTATATGTGTACTATAACTAGTAAAAAATCATATTTTTCTGATAACTGATTGAAGCTACATAAGCAAATAAAAATTGGGGCTTCAGGTCGGCTGGCCACGTCCATATGTAACAATGTTGACTCTTTCAGCTGCCTATTAATTAAAAAGTAATTAGCAAATATTTCTCTAACCATACAAGAATAAATCTGAAAACTTCAGAATAGACTCGATGGTATGAAATGTATCTATGTTGAAACTATCAATAAGATTAGACTTCAAGAAACTTCCTCTTAAAAATCACTTTTCTAAAGATCTTGTCAAGTCACAAAACAAGAATATTTGTCTTAGTGTTATATAGAAATTCTAAAGAAGTATTTTGGGATTGCTTTTGAACTTCTCGTTTTGTTATAAGAGTATTTTTTTCATACTCTGTCACGTCGCTAACGCTAGTTGTTTTTACTGATAAACTTTTCCGAAGAAAGATCTCTCGCACTGATCTTTTCAGAGTATCTAGAGTAACTTAACATATAAAGATTAGCTCCAGAAAAGTGCATTATCCCGAGATATACATGTTTTAATTTTGTGTACTCACATCTCTAACGAATGATTTTGCTCATCTGTATGTTTAGGTCCACCGGTTCTTTTGAAACAAACACCAAATTTAATAACATTCGAGGTTAATGAAAATGAACCAATGGAGTTGCGCTGTCCAGTTGCTATTACACCTGATTTATCTGTCCAATGGTCAAAAAATAATGAAGATTTGGATCCAATATGGTCAACATCAAATTTATTGATTAGACGATTTGTATTAAAAATTCATCGTGCACATATAACTGATGCTGGTTTATATAAATGCAATGTTGTCAATGGATTTGGTAATGTACAAGCACAATTTCAAGTTATTGTTAAATGTATGTTCTCATCTTGTTGTTTTTTGTTTCTCAATTAAAATAAAAGATTATTTTAGCAAATGAAACATCATCGAATAGTATTATTAGTAATGAGCAACAAACTATCATGGTTTGGGATGTTAATTCATTTAATCGTGGTAACTTTTGTAGATTTTATATGAATTTCAATTATGTATTTACATTTTAGAAGCACCAAAATTTCTTGCACGAGGTGATAGAAGTCAAACTGAATTGACTAAAGTTATTCAACCAGAAGGTACAACTGTTCAATTAAAATGTTTAGCATCTGGTAAACCATCACCAGAAGTGCGATGGAAAAAAAATGGTAAAATATTATCTGAAGATGAATATGGTATAACCCAGTAAGTTATTTATATATTAGTGAATTGCAACGTTTTGGTGCGATTGGCATGAAGAACTGAAAGTAGGCCTAAACAATTTTCGAGCAATATATTTTATTATATCCTATGCTAAGTGGTAAAAGTTTTCCAACACTGCACTAAATACTACGAGAAACATACGTTATATAGTTTCATTTCTGCTTTAAATTGGTTTTACTTATTGAAAAGGTTCGAGCCATTTTTTAGCTCGGTATGGAGAGTAGAAAGTCGAAAAAAAAAACTCACAATACATTCGAATTTATTTGTCGTATTCTGTTCGTTTAAATTGTACTTGAAAAAAATATTCTCGAATGAGTTTGACTGAAAATATAAACAAGTGTCTGTCAGATATTGTGAGCGTCGGACGAAGGAACGGAGAAGAAACGAAATTTAAATCAGTTATATATTTTGATAGGGCGTCGAACATTGTACAAAATAGGCTAATTACATCCTTTTCTTATTACTTTTTTATAGTTGAAAAATTTTCTTTTCTTTGCATATGTCAGCAAAAAATGATGTGTTTCATAATGCATCTCTCATAACTCAGCGATAGTATGCGCTAAAGAACTGAAATTTTGTCTGACAGTAGAGTGTTCAAAGAGGAGTAACATATAAAAAAAATTGGCTGAGAGAAACATAAGCTATTAATCGAATACAACTAAAATCTCAATCATGCCAAAAAGTTGTAATTCACTCACATATTTGTTTATATTAGTTATTATTCATTCTATTTTTGTAGAAGTCAAATATTGAATATTAAAGATTTGCGCCAGTCCGATACTGGAAATTATACATGCGAAGTATTTAATTCATTTGGTACGATCAATGCTACATATATTCTTATTGTTACAGGTATTGAAAATAAATATATTGTTTTTAAATAATATTTATAAAATTGTTTTTTTTTTGTTAGAAAAATTACAATTTTTCGGTAATGATCCTGAAAACATAAGTGTTGAAATAGGTCAATCAGCAATACTTAATTGTCGTGTTCAAACTAATGATCCAACGACAAAAATTCAATGGTTAAAAAAAATTGATAATCAACAATTATTTCAACCTGATTCTATTGTATTTGGTTCTGAACAATATGAAACTATTGAACAATATCCAGAACAACAATATTTGAATAATATTCTTTCAAAACCACTTATTTTTCAACAAATACGTATGAAAGAAAGTGGACAATATACTTGTTTAATACAAAATGATAAAGCTACTAATTATAAAGCAGCTTTTATTAATATTATCGATAATCATAAAGGTAAAACAAAAGTGAATGTTACATAAATAGAATTTGTTTTTTGATAAGAAGATTTTGAAGAAGAGATATATCGAAAGTTTCTAGACAAAATATTTTGTCTATTTTTTGGCGTATTAAAATGCATTAGTAGTGTATTAGAATCAGTGTTTTTGCGTTCTTTCAGAATATATACTTAGAATTTTTTTGTGACTTTTGAATCATTGAACTATCAGTAAATCTTGAAAAGACTCAAATTTTTTTTGAAGGAAAAATTTCAAATGAAACTTACTCGAGATATGTTACAAAATTTTATCGAATATATTGGAAGATACAAAAAATAATTCTCTACAAAATGGTACATTTTTTGCAAATTGTAAAGGCTTTTATAAAGTCTATTGTAAGAGACGGCTATTTTTCCTATTTTCGCATTTTTAGAGTAAAATGACTTTCCGTCACAACTCTACCATTTTTTTAGCAGATTAACCGAATCTCTTCATTCTGACGTCATTTTTTAGAGTAGAGATCACTCTCAAATACTACATATTTACAGCACGTATCAAGATTTACTGATATCTCAATAGTAGAGAGCTGTGGATCCACGCTTTTGTGGAACTTATAAATTATTGAAAAGATAAATAAAGTATGAAATATACAAACGATTACAGCGATATTTTATTTATGATAAGGTATTAATGCGAACTACAGATTCGATTTCTTGTATTATGGATAGATGAATGTGGTATTGGTTCTTGCAAAAAGACTTGCAGATAGTCTGATAAGAGAGATTTAGTTTCTATCTGCTAGATAAAAATATTGATAAATAATTACAAAATTGAGAAATATATCCATTCATATTCTACTTTTTTTTTTATGAAACTCAATCTAAAAGGAGTGTTGAAGTATAGAGACGTCCCATTGACCGTGACAGACGTTGATCTATGATCCTAAACTGTATATGAATAACATCTCGTTATAATAATCTCCCTGTGATTAGTAAGAATCTGCTAAATCATGTTTAACATCTTAATCTCATAGGCATTGTTCTAACAGCTTTTTTCTAACGATACTTTTTCCATATATATTTCTTTTTTATTGCAGGTAAAATAACATCAACCAATAATTATTATATCTTACTCTACGCTATTGTCATTCCTTTGTTTATTCTTGGTTTTATTCTTTTCTTAATTTTTTGTTTTTCTCGTCATCGTCAATATAATAATGATCATCATCATTCACATTGTACTAATACCTTAAAATCTTCAACAAAACCACGACAACCATTAATTCATCATAATGATGTAATGTTTCTACCGACAAAAAGTCATACAAGTAATGATTATCTTGGAGATAGTGTGGATTCAATACCAGTTACTAGACAATATTCACAACAACAACGATATGGTCTATCTGCTTCATCTGATCGTGCATCGCTTACAAGTTCAAATTTGTATTATACACGGGTACAAGCAATTTAAATCATCAATTAAATGAAATAGTATACAGTGATACGATCATCACTTCGTTTTTTTGTTTTTCTTTTGAAATATTCATTAACTGTCGAATCTTTTGTTTTGTATAATAAGTGTTTGTCTCTATTTCTTGCCTTGTTTAATTAACTAATCTTGTATATCTAAACAAATGAAATGTAAGAAATTATTTATAATAGCTCATTAATAATGAAATGTCACGTACTAAAAACAATGAATCAAGTTGATTTCAGGAAAATTTAAGATCAATTGACTAGAATACTATGAAGTTATTGTCTTTAAGCAATTATTGGATTTGAAAGCTGCAATAAACTATCATTTAACGTCATCATGAAAGTATTATGAATGAACATCAATAAACTGTTGAGTGAAATTCTTAACTTAGTTTTAGTTTTTTTAAATAAATTATAAGATGATAATATTAATAGAACTTCTCTGGTTTCTAATTGGATGTGAGTATTGAGTGTGTATCAATTTCGGTGAGTATGGGCATAAGTGTTGGGTACAGATGTGGTAGGAAACAGGACCCTCATACTCACTCGCACACAACCACAGCCACATATGCACCTACATTCATACAAATATTAACATCCATAAAGATATTCACACCTACTCCTAAATCACCTACACAGACACGCACGCACCAATCCGAACACCAACACTCTTATTAATAAACTATAGCCAAGTTGAACAATATTAGTGTTTAATAAAAGATTTTCAAAAGCTTTATTAGTGTGATTGTAACTCAATCTGGGAAGACTCTTGTAAGCGTAACCAAATAGTCGCGGTCATAAAGGCTTCTCAATAAAACAGATAATTGCGAAGTTCCACTCTTAGCTAAACTACTGGCTTGTCACAAAAAGAAAAAAATTTTACAAAGTAGAGAGATTAGAAATGAAAAACATCCGATATCATCCAAATTGCATAAGTTTTGACGATTAATCGTAACTTATTGCGATATTTCAATAAAAACGACGAAAGAATCATCTACATAAAAATTATTCGTATGTATTTCTTAAAAGCTGACGACAATCCATTTACTTACAAGTTCCTCTAAATTTATTTGAAAGCAAAATTCCCGCTGCAGATTTAATTAAGCGTGATTATTATTATCTTTGTAACTCGTTTGGATAATTTAAGAAAACCGATTATTTGACAGATAAAAATGGTTATCAGTTAACAATGAACCAATCGATTGTTTATGTATTTGGATGACACAACAGCTGGGCAAGATATAGCAATGGCTTCTTTTCAAAAAATTGATAGAAATAATAAGAAATTATAGTTTCGTTTCAAATATTTATCTTGTGCCGTCTATGTTTCTGTATATGTTTATGATTACCAATAGTTTTCAACTTTTAAATAAGAATCTTGTTATTTCAATTCAAATGTACTCGAAATTTTTATATCATTGAAATTTGCTTTTTTTGGCTTTCGTCGACTGCGGTCACATTAATACTATTATTATCAATACAAGAACAATCGATATTACAAATTCCTGTTCTTTTTTAATCTGTGTTCCATCAATTGTAACTGCTCTTTCTTCAAACAGAAACCAACAGTATCATGAACGATCTCGGTCAACATCATAATCAGTATTAATTCAAAAAATAAAAGGAAATCTTACTTAAAATATGTTTTCTTCGTTTTTTTTTCAGAATTATAATTATCTTTGTTTGTCTATTTGCTGTTTTTAATGTTTAGTAGAAGAAACTTTCATATACTTTTACACTTTCCAGAGCGAAAATTACAACCTTTACATACAACGTCATGAACTATCGTGTAAAACCGTACATGATCGTGTGTTGTCGTATTGTTTTTCTTTACTATTATTACTTATATAAAACACATAGTTTATTCTTCAAATAATTTCAATGATAGATCGATTGATAACATCCAAATTGAGATGCGTTTGTTAGCGTATATGTCGATAATACCAGCTAGTTTGTTTTTCGATTGATGCAAGCATCTCATATGTATGAGCGGAAAGAGAAGAGTAAATTATCATCGATTACACGCGATAAAAAAAGTTCAACTTTACACACACACAAATTGTTTTGAAGTATTTAAAAAGAATTCATTAAACGTATAGCAAAACTCAATTAGAACAGATCCGACTAGCTTCTCTATCAACACGAGTCATTCTTCAGTATTCTTATTCTATAACAGTCAAGCGAAAACCTTGATTAATCATAACATAAGAGTTCTGTTACATCACTGTTGCACTTTTCACTATTTATTTTCACAAATTTTCTTTCTCTTAGCTACTATCAATAAGCAGAAAACTTCATATGACTACAGACTCTATGTAGTAGTCATTTCACATGAGCCTATAACCTACCATTATAGAAGCATGCTTAGTCACAATCTTAAATTTGTGTGAAATATACTCCAACTTATAAAACACGTTGTTTTAGGTACACATCCAAATTTTCAGTCTAATTAAGAATCTTCCTATCGAGCTATTAGGATCTTTTGGCCAATTTTTCAACTAAATCTTCTAAGATTTGCACAGAACTTACATTAGATAATCACTTTTCTGATAGATTTTTGCCAAAACATGCTTCGCACGTTATATTCAGTTTATTATCTATTATGCCTTGTGTGAAATATCTATGTAATATCAGTATTATATAATACAAATAATCTATGACAAACTATTGTGCGTTACAAAATAAAAGGCAGGTTCCCATTTTTTGGATAACTTTCCTTGAGCACAAGATGTAGACTTGCGCTTTTCATCATTCGAAAGAGCGATATCTGGACCATCGATTGGTGTAGAACTTAATAAGACGAAAGATAATTTTTTGTAGGTGCTTTTGGATCAACATATTTTTCTGCGATTACTTTCATCAATTTTCAAAATAATCTCAACTCAAATTATATCAAAATATAGCTCAAACTACCCCTTTTTCGCCATAATATGAACATTTGGTTTTGAAAATCAGCTTAGAACAAAAGGTTGACAGATACTAAAAGCCATGATAATTTTATAGTGAAAGAAGAGTAGTTTGAGCTACATTTTGATATAATTTGAGTTAAGATTATTGTGAAAATTGATGAAAGTAATCACAGAAAAAAGTAGTGACACGAAAGCACCTATAAAAAATTGTCTTTCGTCTTATTAAGTTCTATACCAATCGATGGCCCAGACATCGCTCTTTCGAATGGTGAAAGGCACGGGTCTATCTCTTGTGCTCAAGGAAACTTATTCAAAAAATGGGAACCTGCCTTTTATTTTAGAACGCACAACAGTACATGTGGTAAAAATATGAGATCTAACTGAATATGTA